ATCTATTACTGAACAGACGCACGGCAACATGGAATCTATTTGTTAAACAGACAATGCTAAACCACATTAGATTTGTTTTTTACCACAATATCAACGTCAAAGAAAATGTTTTTTTCAGAGCGTGATCAAGAGCGTGACACATTGAGGCGAGCAGCGTTGTCTGGACTGTTGTTGACAACCCCAAATTAGCCAATCAGATTGCGGGATTAGCAGCAGTTGTGGTAAAAACATCAATTTTAGGTTAAAAATTTTACATTTTACATATTTAAACCATAAGTTCTCTGGAATAATAGCAGAGTACTTGAAAAGTGCCATTCTGGTGCGAGGTAAAGGGGGCGCCTACTTCTCACACCAAATCAAATCAAAAATTATAAATTTAAGTCATACTTACCTAGAGCTACGTGTTGCAGTTCCGTTGTATTTGGGAGTTTGGTGCATACATCCTTGTCCAACATCCTTGCTGGACATCACGGTCACAAGACCTAAACTTGACATGCTCTTACGAAGGTTTTTAGCCACAAACCACAACGCCATTTTAACTCCACAATTGCCAAAATGTAGGTAAATATGGTGACAATACTTTAAACTAGTTTCTAAGAACACTTACGAAGCAAAATAAACTCAAATTTACCGCCAACCCGACATTATTTATGTTTTCCTCACAGTCAATTCTTCACGCTAGGTTCGGAGTGATCACTGGGAAGACGAAATACTTCTGTGTAGGGGAGGGTGAGTGGGAGGCCTGCAAATCGTGCGAAGTCGATTTTCTTGCGATTCAGTATTTTAAAACCGCAACATACAAAATGTTGTTACGTGTATGACAGTTTGTCATTCAGTGTTATGTCTGTTTAAATAACCGAATTCTACAAGGCGGAAAGCTTGTTCAAAACTATAAATGCCATGATTCCCAGAAAACACCGTAGAAAACCGCAAGAAAAAGTTGATAAGACAAAATACTTGTTATTGCGTTACGATTACTCACGCCAACTGAATTATGACTTTCGGTTTAAATTTAACTAATAAACAACGTGTTTAAAACGGCCATGCTATCCGAATTTCAAATCAGTCAACAGAATTAAACGTGGCTCTGATAAAGTTTAAATAATTTTACGACTAACTGATACGGCAGTGTTATATCGGCTTTAAAACTGAAAAAATGCATACTGATTTCTCAAAATTTATGTGGCATTTTTTCCTTACAGTTTACAATGATAAACAGTCTTTAAGGACAATATATTCGAAAGATAACTGGTTAGCTGTTGTCACTGTTAGTTTATCGATTTACCGCTGTTTTATCACTAATTTATTCCTGCAAATGGTTTCTCAGTTTCTCTATTTGATTTCGTGTTGTTTTAGGATTTTTGTATTTCCTGAAGTATCAAATCATTGTCAACTCTAGAAATAGAAATGATTAATGATCACATTTTTCAGTGATAACAAGGTCGAAGATTTATCATTTAGAAGACACATCTACTCAAGACAGGTTTTGAACCTTGACACTCACATGTTTGCTTAGACCAAAGGCAATAACTTTATCAAAATTGCCGTAAACGAACCTCTAAAAAGTTACACTGGGGCAAATGAGTGAAATTTCACCCCTAGACAACGCGTTCTCCCGACGTCCTTACAAATGAAACCTACTGAGGGCTCCTGTTCTAAGTTCGTCGCGGTGTCCTATCGTTTCAGTGGCGTACCGTTTCATTATGTGATTAATTACGTCAAAACAATGCGTTGAAAATAGCTGAAAATTTCCGATCACTTAGGAGTTGCCCAAAAGACTGAGGTTGTTAATTGGACAGTATCCAAACAAGCATTTCCACCAAAGTGCTTAAAAATCTTGTGAAAATGAGAAGATAATCCCTGTTAAAAGAATTCTGACATTTCTTTATGATAAAACTTGAACGAAGTCTCGAGAAAATTGCTTTGAGTGCCAAATATTCAGTTTGTTTGGCGGGAATTTTCAGAGTTTGTTGAATTACCTGATAACGTTATGATACAAAGAACTAAGCGCTTTCACTAAAGTCCTTAAGCAAGCGTTGTTTTGTTTTGTTTTGAGAGTTATAAGTTCAGAATATCGCGATCGAGAGGTGTTTCTCCGATATCCGCGGGCTGATATCACTGCATATTTTACAGCACCATGAACTAACCTGTTTTTGTACACTAACCTGTTTGTGTACAATAGTCTCTACGAATGCCACGAACGAACAGATAGCCCACTTTTGCAAGAAACATTTCCGAGTCCCCCGTTGAACTCCCCAATAAACTGTAGCATATAACGGTTGCCTCTTTTGTACACTCCAATCAGTATGGCGTGGTTTTGGTGAGAAGTTCTTAAAACAATACTTCGAATGTTGATGAGATTTATTGAGTCTTAGTTGTATATCTTGGGGCTCATAACTCATATGTGACCTTTCAAGTACGTTAAACTTATCGGAAAAACTGAAGAACTCAACTTAGTCTAAATCATAAATCAACACAAAGGTGCCGCAAGCAAGGAAGGACGGTTTTGATTTCGCGCGTCAAGTTGAAATGATTAATGTCCGATGTGTCTGAGAAAGAAAATACCCCTGTGGACAGTTATTAATTGCCGTCTAACCTCTTAGCCTGTGCCTGGTACGCACGCAGGCTTAGCACATATTTATTGCATGCGAAGTCATACGATACAGCACTTATCTACCTCACATATGTTCCCAGTTCATATTCAACAGATTCAACTTGAAAATAAGAGATAAAGCAATGGAAATATGTTAACATGTAAAACAATTTTACCTGGACGGAACGATGGGAGATTCCGAAAAAGTTTCTCTTTTTTCTTCAGATTAGAAAGTATATCAGCGAAAATGTTTTTTCAACGTTTTTTCTAAGAATTGATTGCGCAAAAAACAAGATGACTGTTAAGAGAGAATTAATAAAAAACAACAACAGAATAGATGTAGAACTGTTTAGTTGAACGGAGTAAAAGAAAAATAAAAACTACTAATTATCGACGAAATATTTTCCGATGTTTTTGTTTTCAAACCGTGTTAATTTTCTTGATTCATCCTTGCTTTCTTTTTGCTTTCCTATTTCTTTATTATCTATTCTCGCCTCTTCCTTACCTAAGTGAATACACAGTATGATGTTACTCAATCTTCCTTTGATTTAAAATTGTGTACCCCAAAGAAAAAACAAAAAGTCAAAGAAACATATGAGTAACATCTCGTGACAAATTAAATCAAAAAACTAATCTAGAACTAA